TTGCTAGAACCAACAATATACCTCTTGGAAACTACTAAAAATCTTTCTTAGTCCTGCCAAGTAACAGTAGTTACAGATGGCAATTAACAAACAACAAATGAAATGACCAACGAAATGTTATATCTGAATTATTTAAGAAACAATTTAAAAATTTTTGGTTAGTATCCTTGATACTCAGCACATTTCCTGTACTGAAATCTGCTACATAGTATTAACAGACAGAATGGAATTAAAATTGTTTAAATATAGGGAGGTGAAATAATACTGCTTAAGTACAGAAAATACCGAATGTGACTTTTTAGAAAGATAGAAGTACACAGTTTTCTTAATCAGAAAGATCTGAGTCTGAAATCCTGACTGTGACTTACTAGTTGTTCAGCTATGGACAGGTTAGCCAGGCCTTAATTTCATTTGTAAAATAAAGCTAGTTCCCCAAGAGAATGCTGTATGCACTCCTGGCGCACACATAACCGATTGGTTAGCTTTCCTTTCCTTTGATGAAATATGTAATCATTATTCAGTGGACTGATAAATCAAACTTTTTGAGGCTAGGCAGGAGCCAGTGCAGTTGTGTTCACTCAAGGAAGAAATGGCTGACTGAAATAGATACTAGATTGTGATATAAAGAAAAATAAACTTGAGGCAGAGGTCCTGGAGAACAGTTAGATTATGTAGAAATAATTGAGACAGGGTCTTGGTAAGTTGTACTGGTTTTAGGTTGCTCTGTATCCCAAGCTGTCATCAAATCTTCCTGCCTCAACCCCCAAGTGCAGATATTACAGGTGTGTATCACCACGCCTGACTTATTTTCTAGATATATATATAAAAAAGGTTACTCTCCCCATTGGTCTCTTTCATCACTGGAGATAAATAGCTGACAATGTGTATTACTGTTCTTTTACACAGCACCAGTATATAATTAGGTGAAAGCTATGAAGTTCAAAGTGTATCTTTTAGGAAAGTTTTAGACATAGTGAAGTATTGTTAGATCATAGAATCAATGAAACAATTTCCAAGGAAAAAAATTACTTGTGCACATAATACAAAGAAATTACTGCCCCTCAAAAAATAAAAATAAAAATGGGGGGGGAGGATTTAGCCCTAAAAGTACAAATAAGGTTAGTCTTGCAGCCTTGCCCAGGCAACATGAAAATGTCTTAAGGACAATCCAGTGTTAAAATTGATAGTATCACTTAGAAACAGCATAAAAAGCATTTGAGATTGGAGTAGAAGGGAACTTTTTTTTTCACCACCTCCAGAATCATAAAATTGTCAGTTTAATGAAAGCAGACAAAAAAGTTGTTTGTTGAGGACCATGCACTCGGGCCCCCTTTCTGTCCCTCTCAAATAGAAGCTAACCCTAACTCTGTCCAGGACCTGTTTTCACATGAAAAAAAAACACGATTTTTTTTTTTTTCTTTCTGGGTCTTTTGCCTAAAGTTTGTCTTTATTAGATTTTGGTTATCTTTTATTCTAGGCTGGGAGATAATCATTAACTACAAAGCTACAATATTCCTCTTTTGTGGGAAGTGGTAGTTGTAGTGGGGATTGTGCCAGGGTCTTCATACTGAGCTCCATCCTCAACCCTTTTATAATTCTGTAAGGTCCTACTATGTTGGCTAAGTAGCCCAGGCTAGGCTCAAATTTGGCATCCTCCTGTCTCAGCCTCTTTAAAAGTGCTGATTCCAGGTATATGCCACTACACTTGGCAGTATCCCAGGTGATGCTCTTTCTGCCTTAAGATGTCCTGGTGAAAAATGCCTGGGTCAGAAATTATTTCCACATGCCATAAGTGCAAGCCTCTCCATTAGTCTTTTACTTACTGCTGTATAGTGCTGGTAACTAGTGCCCAAAAATATTACAAGAAGTTGTTCAGTAAAGCATGTAAAATATTTAGTTGACATTACTGGAAGCCTCGTCATTTAAGAGTAGAAAAGTATGCTTAGTACTAGGAAATGTCACAAAAGCCTTTATTCAGAATTTTTATAATTCAAATGTTTGATTACTGTAAGCTAGTTTTTTGTTCTGTTTTGTTTTTTGTGGGGGGGAACCAGGGATTGAACCCTTGCACTTGCCAGGGAAGTGCTTATTCCACTGAGCCATCTCCCCAGCCCTACACATACTGCAAACTAGTTCTAAGGTAAGACTGGTTTGATGTCAAACCCTATACTAGAGACTAGTTACCCAAACTTTAGGGGCTTTAAGAAGTTAAAAGCCAGAACTACTTCTGTCTTATATAAAAGAAGAACATGCAAGGGCCAGGGAGATGGCTCAGTAGAATAAGCACCTGGCTGGCAAGCGCAAGGGCCTGAGTTCAATCCCCAGTTCTGAAAAAAAGAGATGAACATGCAGAGCACATACAGCATTGTTGCCATCCAGTTAGCCTCTGTGGATACTACCTCTGTTTATCATTAGTTTCTTGCCCTTGCACAAGAAGGGGCAAGTACTGTTAGGTCTCCTCATTTTTATTAGAAGTCTTGAATCTGTAGATTCGTGGTTCTAACAGAATGACCATTGTTCTCCCCAAATTTTTCATATAAGCTACATATTGTGATATTTAAGCACCTTCTATGACCCATCTTTTATAGTGTTACTGTTTTCATTTTATGAGGTTGCCATATAGTCTGGGTTTTTGGGTTTTTTCTGGAACTGGGGATTGAACTCAGGGAAGCGCTTATTCTACTGAGCCATCTCTCTGGCCCGAGGTTGCATGTATTTATAAATTCCTTGACAGCCTTTCAGCAATTCTGATATATGGCTCCAATACTTGAGGTAAAAATAAGAGAATATGCAGAAAAAATACAGTATGTTACAATACATGCAGTTATGAACAAACAGACACACCGGTCAAAAGGGAAGATGACAATTTTTATTATAAAAGCGAGATTTTGTTTAACTTCAGTAATTTGAACAATTGCAAGAGCAGACTAAGGGCTTAATCCTCACACAGGCACCAAGTCAGGCACAGTAGGTAGCTACAAATCATAAGAAAAAGGTTTCTTTCCTACCTAGAGTATTCTTCCATGCTTTGGAAATTAGGTTTTAAAGACGCAACAAACCTAGTAAGTTCCCTTTAATCCTCATTTTTTTTTTTAAAGTGAGATCTAGGTATTAACTGGCTATCTGATTAAGACTAGTCATTAAACCCTGGCCTGAAAAATGTCCATGCATCCTTTAAAACAAAAGAAATTAAGCAATCGTATCCATTTTGGAGAGCCCAGTATTTTTGAGTCCCTAAAATGCAGACCTTACAGGCTCAGGCCTGTTTCACCTAATGCATGTGGAGGAAATGGAGGCGAGGACAATCACCTGAGGAGCGCCAGAGCTCCAGCTCCAGCACAAACACTCTTCCCCGGGAAGCAGGAAAGGAGGTAGCAAGGACTTGGGCTGACATCTGAAGCACTAAGCTAATGTGCCTGGCAGAGGGAAGCCTCAGGAAGCACAAAATGTCATTCACCTGTGCTGTCCACAAACCTGAATTTTTCATGTTAAATTTTTAAAGGGCACAGTGGCATGTGTGACAAGGCAGAAAAGACAATTATTGTTTCAGGGTTTGCTTTAAGAAATCTTTGTGTTTTCTGCCTAATCAGACCTAGTGCCTATTTGCTTTTCTTACACTAGAGAAACATAAAAGGTTTTATCTCTACTCCTACACCTCCAGGCCCTTGTAATAATCCTTTGTAAACAATTCAGCTAGCATATTACTGTTTCAAGGAAGCAAAGGATTAGAGGTATGTGAGAAGTACAGTATACTTATTAAAGGGAAGACTCAGTAAGTTCTAGGATACTGAAAATCAAGAATATCCTAGACCCAAAATGATCAAAGATGAACCAAATCTATCCTATCTGAAATCTGGCAATAAATTGGTTCAAATGGAATTGACTGAATTCCTACTGAAAAAAAAAACAAAAAAAAAAACACCACTTCTTATTTCCACTCACTATGAAATCTAATGTTACAAACTGCTAAATTTAAACCTAGTAAGTCTTTTTAGTTGTGCATACATAATTACACTTATTTAACAGGTTGCTACCATGGCAAGATCTCTGAGGAAAGATCATGAATATATTAGATAGCATCTGCTAGAATCACTGAAAACTTAGTTGGAGGAAATAAAGGCAGCATTTGGAGACGGATAATCCTCCAAATTCAGCTGACTGCTATCTATCTACCTTACGTATGTCTGTGAGAGGATTAATTGCAGTTTATTCTAATAAGGTAGGCCAACACTGAATATAACATTTAATCATTCTAAAATCAGAGCTATAGTGCTGTAACCAGAGATTTCACAAAGGGTTTAAAGGTTGAAAGTTGCCTGGTGTTGAGAGCTGTAAATAAATACTGTGCAGTTGTCCCTTGACTACCTTAAGTCTCTACCCAAAGCAATGAAGCTATCATCCATGAAGCAGCAGTCCATGAGCAAGTCCATGCCAAAAATGAAAGGTGCTAGAGTGCTGTCACGTGTAAATAGTCATCCAAGATCAGAGTAATTACTAGTGTTCCTGAAGATTGCCAGGGCAGATTAGCTGTTTTGTTTTGTTTTCCTCCCAAAAGTTCACCATGGGAACAGTTTTTGCCCAGATTCAACTCTCTCATAGGTTGCAAAACTGCATCTGGTTGCAAGTATGATCCAAAATATTTGCAGTGGTTCAACTGAAAGGATTCCAGTAATTCTTCAATTCATTTTCAAAGTTGCATACAAAAGCAGTTCTTATAGTTCTCATAACTAGCACACAAGTATGAATCACCTCATTACAGTTACTAACCTGTACTTTTACAGTTTACTAAATTATTACATTCAGTTATGACATATTTCAAGATTTTAAATTCAAAACAATATACATGGGTTTAATTATTCAAGAATACTTTTTACTATTTGTCAGTTAATTCCATGACAATATACACTCAGTTCATCTCTTGGTTTAATTTTACAAAGATTTTCACTATTATTTCTTCTTAATCTTTAACTATCCAGCCCTAAAATGAATTTTACAAAGATTTTCACTGGATAAATTTTTTGCAAATTATAAACAAATATATTTTCCCTTCTTCCACAGTAACAAATAAGAGTTTAAAATGGCAATTGCTTAGCTGTTTATTCCAATGACATCTTAAAATTCAGTTCATTAATTTAAAATATTATAATTAAATAATCTAGCATGAAAGTTGTATAAAGATCATTAATATAAAAAGATGCAAATAAAATCATGGTTATAATATATCTATGTTAAATACAGAAACAATGTTTAGGTCTATAATATGCTAAATATGCAACCAACTGCCCTATTTTTGCATTGTCAGCCACATGAACAGTTTGCACTTATAGAAGACAGAATGAAAGAGTAGGAATTTATATTGCTCTTTAAAGATCTAACAAACATCTGTACACACTGCAAGTTCATTTCAGGTATTTATCCCCTTGAATTTCAAATGACTACCTAGTGTAACCACAAGTTTGAAATAGACCTATTTTATTTATTTATTTATTTTGCGGAACCGGGGATTGAACTCAGGCCCTTGTGTTTGCCAGGCAAGCGCTTGTTCTACTGAGGCATCTTCCTGGCCCCTGAAATAGACCAATTTTAAATGGGGAATACTTTGTGAAGAATTTCATTATCCATAAAATGTAAATACTGCAAATATGTTACAAGTCCAATGAGTTTTTTAAAAATTACATTTGTACTTTTATCTTTCTTGGCAGAGGGAGGCCCGTCACAGCTGCTGTCCAAGTTATTTTACCAAATCTTGGCAAAATATTTTAAGTCTTTTAATATTCTAGGTGTGTTTTAACAGCACACATAACTTTTTTAATGTGTTCAATTTAGAAAGCAAAATTATCTTTGGAAATAATTTCAGTGACTTGTGAACTTTTAAAGGTTCATTAAAATCCAAGCAATTGCTAGTATTACTCATCAACATGGAAGTATAAAAAGGTTACATTCGGACTAAAGCTCCTGTATTTCCCAGAAAAATAAAAGCCCAGAAAAATTTGAATAAAATTTAAATTTCATGCAATTTAATAGCAATAAATATAGTTCTATGAAGCTGCAGGAAGTAACTTTGCCCTGTTCATAAGATGTAGGCTCATTCACTTCATGAATGGGAATTCCACAGTTAAGACACTGTCAGATTTGTTATCTTGTGACTGGAAATAGTAACTAGGCTTTTGTTTTCTGAGGAAAAAGGTTACAGAGGTCATGTTATCAAACATACAATTACAAAGTATGTCATTTAGAGATAAGTCACAATGCAAAAGAGGCCACATTTAACGACATACAGCAACACTCACTCAACATGGAGGCTTCTGATAACCCCAGAAATGTCTTCCATTTTCCACTTATTCTCACAAAAAAAACTTCAGTCACCATGGTTGTAGTAGAAAGTTGCCTTCACTCTTAAGAACCATCACATTGCTGCTCTGTAGTTCATCCAAATCATGGTTAGCAAATTTCAGCTTTATACTTAATAAAGAAAATTCAATTTCAAATAATTGAGATAAAACTTACACTGTGCTTGATTCTATTGATCACTATTAATTTAGTTTGGGCAGATTCTGCTGATCCTACATGTGTGTTCACTGAATTGCTGGACTACGATTGGCTTTAACTAGCAAGAATCTTCCAACCTTTAAATTTATAATTTAACTGGCACGTGTATAGTTTCCATACTAGATACATGCAGCTCTTATAAGCAAGAGGCATTTTTGCCAGTTCTCAACATGCTTGCTTTATTGTAAATTCCACTGATTTAAAACCAGTTAATGGAATTTTCCATAAGGTTACAATTTCATTAAGCTTTCCTTACAAAAAGAGTATACTTGTTTCGTTTTGTTCTTTTATCAGTCTACTGTACTTAACAAATCATATTCAAATATAAATTGGAAGAAAATAACTGAAAAGACCTAGTTAGTAAAGCAGTGTCACAGTTGCACAAAGGTATTTAACTGTGTATGCATTAACCATCAAAAGAAGAGGTCAAACTATTTCTTTCCTCTAGTACAAACTTGAACATTGTAAATGCCTCATTGAAAGTAGTGAGTAGGGAAAGAGTTTAGAAAAGCCCAAGTAATAAAATGTATTCAATTACTTGGGAAAGTTAAAAAGCTAATGCAACAATGTTACATCCAGGTAAAAAACATTATTCAAAAGCAATTCAAATACCAAAAAAGGTTTCAAATTGAATATTTTATTAACATGGTAGTTGTCTGTAACATGTGCACACACACTCGCACACTCAGAATGATCTGCCTGGGAAAAAAGACTATGCCTAAGGGGAAAATGAAAAACAAATTTTCTATAGGTTTTCATTATTGTATGCAATTATGTCCACATCACTTATGAAGCTATTGCCAAATCTGTCCAAGGAAGCAGTGTGGGGACGGGGGGTCATCTTCGGAAAAACTCAACAGTGGCATAGCAGAGCTCTCAATATGAGAAAGCTGACCTAATGTGGACTTTTGCTATGAGTTTTTTCTTTTGCAAAATATGGGGAGAGGTTTATAAATGGGCAGAAAATAAGAGAAGGTGGTATGAAGTAGGCTTTTGCAGTCAATTTTCCTCACAGTATTGTGCAGGGTCATTGAGAGAAATGCTTAGTCTTTCTCTGGAACCAGTTTCAGAACTTTTCCAATTGCAATGGTCTTACCTAAAGATGAAACAAAATGAACAAAACAAACTTTCAGTAGTTTTAACAGCAAGTCACAAAGAATATTATCTTAACCATGAACTGTTATGTAAACTACTAATTGGCTTTATCATCAAAATTAGGATTTCTGGTTAGGTGTTTTTTTTTTTAGATTAGGTAATCTTAAGTAGGTTTTATTTGGGAGAAGGAGTAGGCAGGAAGAGCTATTTTCTGTATCAAAAGCTTATTCTCGGTTGAATAAAATGTGGCATATCCACACAATGGAATACTATTCAATAAAAAGAAATGAGTTACAATACATGCAACAATGTGGTGGAATCTCAAATGTACTAAATAAACTAGACAAAAATCTTTTTTTTAAAATTGTATTTAGGGGCTGGTGAGATGGCTCAGTGGTCTAAAGCACCTACTTAGAACAAGCTTAGCAAAGCACAGGGACCACGGTTCAATCCTCCAGCACCACATGCCAGCCAGCCCCGCACCCTGGTGGGCTGAGCTGGCCACACACACACACACACACACACACACATAAATAAAATAAAAAAAAATAAAAATGTATTTAGAAAAAATAAATAAAAATAAAAATAAAAATGTATTTAGTATAGAGTCTACAGGGTCTTACTATACAGATCGGACTCATAGTGATCCTCCTGTTTTCAGCCTCCCAAGCACTGGAACTATAGGTGAGTGCCACCACGCTGTCTCAGTTGTCATCTCAGCACACCCTGGGGGCTGGAACCGGCACAGCATGCAGGGAATCGAACTTCAGGTCCCTGAAACTGCCTAAGCAGGTGCTTTAATCTGCTGAGCTGTCTGGCCAGGCCATTTATGATTTTATTTATAGATCATTCCCCGAAAAAGTTTAAAATAGATAAAAGTAAATTAATGGTTGTCTAGGACTGAGATAGTAATAAAGGGGGACAAGAGACCTAAGGTTTCTTTTTGGATATCCTAAATGTAAAATGAGAACAAGATGATGATTGTACAATTCTCTAGACATAAATTATACATTTAAAAAGGTCAATGTTGGGCCAGGGAGATAGCTCAGTAGGATAAGCGGTTGACTGGCAAATGCAAGGATCTGAGTTCAATCCCTGATTCCGCCAAAAAAACAAAACAAAACAAAACAAAACAAAAAGAATCCCTTTGGGGCTGGGGAGATGGCTGAGTAGAATAAGCACTTCCCTGGCAAGCACAAGGGCCGGAGTTCAATCCCCAGTTCCACCAAAAAAA